ATATAAAATGGTTTTATATTAAATATATTAAGAATAGTATAAATATATATATATACCCAAACACAGACTATTTGTAATGTCATTATATTTTTACGATCCCAAAACACTCCATCGGCTCGATTTTTTTCTCAGTTCTCGTTATCGCGGAAATAATAAACCAATGGTCCGTAGAAAATCGGCCAACGTTATAAATCCTAGTACTGTTTGTTCAATAAAACGTCATTCGTTATGTTCTATATAACAAATGGCGATAGTTTTATAGAGAAATATCATGGGTTTAATGACTTATATCCAGAAATCCGAAGCACTTCACAAATATTTCAACGACATTGCGCGAATATGCGAAAGCTTACGCAAGAGAATACAAACGTAATATAAACTCCCACGACATTTCTAAATGAAAAATCTGACCTACTGTGCAGAACGATCGACACATACGCGGCATTTTCCGGAACAAATAAACGCGCGATATTTCAATACACAATTCGACTGACCTTTAACACAAGAACGTTGATAAACTAGATAGTATATTCCAATATAGCGCATTTTTCAGTCTCTTTCACCTTGTACTTTTTAACATTTCCTGGTTTTCCTCATTATAACATGTGTTACATTTTACCCTCAATAAATTGTTGAAAAAATATTAATCGCTTTTTATATAGAAAAATATCTCACATTATGTTCTCACGCAAGCAACAGTATCGATTCAATAGTGCCGCTTTAATGATGCCTTGTAAACATCATTCTGCAACATCACACACTGGTCATTGTCTGTGTGTTATCACGAATTCAGCACATTACAAATTCAAAGTCCCGCGACAGCGATGATAACATAGACAGATGTTCCTGACACTAAATACTCGCTAACCCGAACACGGTGCTTGGTTCACCAATTCCCGAATTGCTAATCATCGGGCTTGTTTCGCGGCTTCGTCATTCGCAATGGATAGCCATGATTATTCGGGGTGGAATGAAGGGCCCGACCGAAGACGCGGGAGAGAAGACCGAAAGGGATCGGGGAAAGAGAAGGAGGAGAGGGACGGGCTGTCATAAATTTAAGCAACAATTAACATTCAGAGTTAAGGCCTGTGGGAACGAGCCATTAGCTATGCGTATCTGTAACGCCGCGCGCGCTTCGTGCTCCGCCGAAGACGAAGAAGTTCGTTTCGGCCTTCGCGAGGAGGATTCACGCGCCGCGTGAGAGCAGATGCGAATAGATGGGGCACGGGGAAAAATGAAAAGGAGCGCGATGCATCGCGTCGGGGTCGGAGGTTAAACTGTTCTCTCAACGGCATACCTGATTTATTAATCATCCGATGCCGCAGGCTACCTACGTTATTATCCTCTCTCGCCTGCCACTTCGTTTCTCTTTCCTCCGAGAATGGGAGCTCTTTGCCGATCTCTGATACGCCGCTCCTGTCAACCGGATCGCGAGATTGCTCCGCGTCAATTAACGCGTGAAACGTATTGTGCGTTTTAAAAGTATCATTTATTCTTGATCGATGCGTAATTAATAGCTAATATATGATAATAATTATTGATAGAGCGAGTTTACCTTGCGCAAAAATAAATGTCCTGCCATTTGATTTCTTTGGAATTTCCCTACTTTAAATAAAATACAAATAAACTGTATATCTATAAATAAATCGAAATGATTACCACGTGTCGGGATAATTTTGAGCGAGCGTTCTCACAACGGAAAACGGAATTCTTCATCCGTTCGGTCGCCGCCTCCAGATATATACGCGTATCGATTATCGGATCGAAGCTGGCGCGACGAATTCCGTATTGATGATGCGAAATATTAAATTCGGAAACGGAACCGACAGCGCTGGTCGAGGTGGTAGGTTGAATTCCCCTCATCGACAGAGCTCCCTAATAGAGACGTCGATAACAGTTCCGGCCGTTAATGCGGCGTTCCACGCGTGTGCGTGCGGCAGGATCGTATCTCATTGCCATCGGCCGCTACTCTTTTGGCGCCGAGGAATTGATTTCAATTACGCGTTCAGCCGCTTGTTTCGGCGGATCTGATATCGACGTACGTATATCAGCGGCACCAAACCCTCTTGCATGCGATTCTGGTCCCTCTTTCATCTTTCATCCTGTATCACCTCCACCTACATTCTCTTCTCCTGCTCTCTCATTCTTAGCTTCTTGTTCGCAGGCTGATTCAAAGAAAAGCAAAACACTCGTTTTCTATTAACACTTTCAAATAAGTTTTTAAAAAGAGACAAAGATATAGTTTAACCGGGAATTTAATTTAATTTAATAAAGAGCAAAATATCTCTCTGTGTATCTTGGAAAATATTGCCAATATTATGTAAGTTCAAGAATGTAATGGCTATTTTGATAATAAGAATTCGAGCTTTTATAACGCTTGCAAAGTTGTGTAATAATCATCATAAACGGTTCTCGTTATTTTTTTATACATAAAAATATATTAATTTTTTAAAAATAATATAATATAAATTTATAATAATATTAATTATAATCAACGCATGTGTTGATTTTATTGTATAATGTGCGATATATATTCTATTCGTTCTAGAAAGAGCCTACAAATTGTAACGTTCTGTGAACGTCGTGTACAAATGCGAGGAGCTTTCTTCGTAGCCCTTTTGAGAGTACACACCTACGACCACAGAAGAGACAAGATGTTCTCTTCGCCCTTTCTCTCTTTCCCCATTCCACACACCGACACCATCATTGGCCATGCATCACGCTCTTTGTGTAACGCTACACCGTACGCGTTTATCCGAGCCTACCCGCACGACGATAAACATCGCACCGTTATCGATATCTGTCCGTATCGATCAAAGGGCTCGGGGATAATAAGGCCGTCCAACAATGTCGTGGGTGTCGGGACCATCGAGACAATGTCGTCTCTCCCGATCACAATTGCGGCTATCGCTTCCTCGTATTTATGCGAGACATGTACCTTTGATCGTCCCCGCTGAGATAGATAGACGACAATTTATTGCTGAGATTTAGAAAGAGAAGTTTGTTTGCGCAAGTAATATTAGTTCAATTTGTTCAGGGGGTGAAGGAAGTGGGGCGGAAGGGTTAACAGTACCTCGTATCGAAAATGACAACTATGTCACGTGCGTGCGATTATTATTATTATGTATTCGATGCATCGAGATTATCATCCCTTAATTTTATTATTTGATAATAATTGATCAAAGCAATAATTGCGCATTATCAGAAAGCATTAGATGGAAAAATATTTTCCCCAGATGCCAAATAAACTTATTTAATTATATTAATATAATAATGTGATAAGTACGAAATATTTTGTTACACTCTCAACATGTAAAAGCTTTACATCTAAATATATGGCGACGTGTTTTTATAAACTTAAAAAAGACGAATAAAATTCTTACCAGATGCAAATTATCTTCAAAAATGATGCAGCGGTTGTGAAAAAAACTGTTATTTATGTCACTGATCACGTTTGTCGAATTCCCAGTGAATTTAATTTCCGCGAACGATGCATTTCACGCGTTTCAGCTATGAATCTCGCATACACGTTTCACGTATATCCAAATATCAGCGATGTGACTCGTCAAATGGCAAATTTCGAACGCGATGGTCCGTGCAAAAGATCGGTATGTTTCTTTCGTATACACGACGAAACGTATCGGCGATATCTGTTTGCAGTATCCGCCCATTATTATACTACGGGTCGGTAATCCCCCATATGGCACGCCGGCTCGCCGATGGCAGACTGTTTACGTTGTTAATAACGCACGTTAATCGTTAATTTGCACATCGTCTTAATTATCTCGTTGTCCGGGACGAGCATATAAATATGAAGCTATCGCGGAAAGTTGATGAGCGCATTGCCGTGCAATGACTTTATATCCTATTGATACAGAGGCCTCGACTGCTATTGTCCATAGGATAATACCATTGACTTATTACGATTAATTAAATGATTTATATTCGACATTCTAATATAAATAAACATTAGTATATTGATTATATATTGCGTATATAGTTATTCAAGAAAATACACACAGATTTGTTAATACAATATTTTTTATAATCTATCAAATTTATCGCAGCGCATAGTAAAATTTTTGACGTTCTTATGCGATTGAAAATAATACTCTATTTTTATGACATACCTATGTTATTTCCTCGTGCAAATTTTATACCATTTATAATTCTAGAAAAAATTTTAAATTATCTTTTATTTTAATACATTTTTTCTTACTATTTAAATATGAATAATAATTAAAATTCAATAATATAATATGTAGTTTGATATAGTTTAAAGTAACATATTATTTGAAATACGTAATTACATACAGATAATATATAATTTTCTATATGTATAAAGCAACAGAAAAAATATATATATATATATTATATTTGTATGTAGATATGCACTTCAAGCAAAATATGTTATATTAAACTACAAACAATTTATTAAAAGCTTTAAAAAATAATCATGTTTATTTTTTATTTCCAATATATTTTCATGTGTTATATATATCTCTCTCTAAAAAATACTAATATTTTTTAATAATTATTATAAAAACTTGATAGTCTTAGAAATATAAAGTTATCTGTTTATACAGGTAGTCATTTGTGATCAGAATAATCCATAACAAGCTATCGAAATTGAGATTGTAAATACGATTACAGATTAAGCAGATGAATGCGGCGCCAACGTAACGCTGACGCACATGTAAAAAGGTAATAAATGAGGTAGATATGTCTCATGCAAAAACCGAAGATCGTATCATCTCAAATATATTGGAAACATAGACAGAGTCCCTTTATTCAAATCGATTGAAATCATCGAAGTCAATATCAATATCGACATTTATAATATATACAAAAATATTCTCAAATATTTGTCATTATTTATAAAGCAAAAAAGCACGAGATCTTGAAGCAAAGCAACAAATCAAACATTTGATATCCCACTTTGAACTGACGTTATATTCGTTGCATGTATTCTTTATAAGTTGCAATTAATAAATATTTTTATATCGCTCTATTAAATTGCGACTTCCTCTTTTCATACTGAAACGGGAACCAAGAGGAATTCAGATAATGCTGGAAGGCCGATACTGAGAAAGGCGAGGAGCTCGTGGACCGGCTCCGAGTAAAACGATGTCTGTGTGTGTGTGTGACGAAAATAAAAACCAAAATAAACAAAATCGAAAAAGACGAGTACGCGGAAGAGGGCAGAAGAAGAGGAAGAGAGAGAAAGGGCTCGCAAAATCGCCATGGGCCCCGAGGTGGACGACGCGCGCAGGGTAATAAATATCATGCGATTAGATCTCCGATGCTGCCGCTGTTGGGGTTGGTTACGAACGGAGGGAGCGACTATTAATCACTCCATGTTAATCAAGCCGGCCGCTAAGTAGGCCGCGCCGCAGCATTAAAGTGCACTACCACGCATCGTATTGGCGTGCCAACGGAACACGCATACATATGCGCGCAAATCAAGCGCAAGGTAGGTACATAGGCTAGAAGAGATTAGAGCATTGGAGGTAAAAGAGAGAGGATGGAAGGAGGAAGAAGGTAAGCTCGAGCTCACACAGGTCCCGTGCGTGAATTAGCTTTCAGCCTCCTATTATTCGACTTCGAGATCCCTACCTTAAAAGATCTGTACCTATCTACCTACCGCATAGCACGCGCGCGTTCCTTCTCATTTTTGAGGAATTAATCGAGACTAATTACCACGTCGGACAAGAAGGAGTTCGTTCTGCCAGTCCCTTCGTCGGTGAATTATAGTATTCAATATCTCTACGAAAAAAATTGGCGAATTAAAAGAAATTCGTAGAAATTTATTCCGCGAAATTATGACTCTCTCTCTCTCTCTCCAAGAGTAAGATCGATATTTTGTTATATGTTTTATTTTTCTATTTTTCTACATTTTAATCAATTCATTAACGTAAAAATTGATATACTTAAATGATATTCTTTTGATTATTTATTAAAACAATTCTTGAACATTATTCGTAAAGAATACAGGATAATACTATGACAGTTATAAAAGTAAAAATTTTTCTTATTAAAAAGAAAGACATAATTTTTCACAGAATAAATTATTGTAAATTTCTTTCAATCTACGTTTTCCCAATTGTTTTATTTTCATTCATTTCAATACATTATTTATATGCTATCAGATATACTATGATTTCAGAATTTCTGATTGATCTCATCTCAATGAAATGTAAAAGAACTGATTAAAGGAGAAAGCTAAACGCAAGGAAAGAGAAACGGAGAGGTCTTTATGGACTTGTTTGTCCTCTGAGGATTTTTACGAATTATTTGAAAAGTTCCGTCGAGACGCATCCGAAGGATCGTTTCGGACAATCACATGGTAGTTAGATCATGCAATGTCCTCATTTGCAGTAAGTACCTATGCATCTGTTATATGATTCCAATAATAGAAATTTCTGTCAATACTTTTAAACTTGTCTCGATTCAACAATTTACTTAACAATCATCTAATTAAATCATAATCAATTATCCCGAGTTATATACTTACACATAGAAATTTTGGCTTAAAAATTCATTATTAAAAAATCTGGCAATTAAATGTTATTTCGAAAACTCTCACATTCTTTTCGCGTATAATTATGACATAAATAATAATGTAGCAATGTTTAATCGTTAACACGGACAAATCTCTGTTCCGCACGGATTAACATGCCGTGCTGGTTCCACTTTCAATCCTCTCTTATCCGATTCTTACCAATTCTCATGTCACGTATCTCCTCTCCTTTGCTTAAAATAGAGTTTATACAAACACCGATCTCTCTGTTTCCCGGTTAAACTCCGTTTCTCTTGCTATCCCCCTCCGATCTGATCGACCAGCGTCCGGCGCGGGCCGAAACAAGGCGGGTGTAGTCGCGCGAGCAGCACGAGACGAGGGCGAGGTAGACGAGGTTGTACAAAAGTAAATAAAGTCTCTCAAAAGACTGAGAAAATATGTCGATAAATCTAATGTCTAACTGAGATAGGTACCAGGCACTGGGAAATAATTGTCTCGCGCGCCAAGCTGCATCGAACGATCACGATGGACGATTGCTTCTCGTGGCGCCAGTAGCCCGCACCAGAAGTTACTTTCGGATTGTCTCCCGTGAGAGCAGGGATCGTGGCGAGAAGGGCGACGATCTTTCCACCTCTGAGAAAGTTTTCGAATTCCTTCTATCCACGACGACCTCTTTTCACCGTCATCATCGTCTTCCTCTCCCTCTCTCTTTCTCTATTTCTCGACATTTACATTTAAAAGTGTGCCTATATTAAGATTATGAGCATAACTCAGACTGTGGTACTGATTTGACCGTGATGAAAGCTAATCATTCACAGATTGTATCTTGTTTTATTATACCAAATGCAAAATTCGAGACTGAAGAGCAAAAGTAATTTTATTTCGAATAATCATGATACTGTGCGAACCATTTTTTTTTAATCGAAAGCTTTCGAAATGTATTTTGGTTTGAGTTTATCATTGACTTTTTTATTCCCAATTATTGTATGAATGTATTAAAAACATGCCATACGTTTCCACTCTTTACTCATCAGATTATTTTTATTACTCATTTAATTACTCATCAGATTATTTTTTTTATCATTCATTACTAAAATTTCTAAAAATTATATTTCAATATGCATCAATTAATATATATTTCGTTCAATTAATATATTACTATTCGGGACATCCTCCCTCGCGATTCTTGGAAATACGCCAAAGTGCTCTAGTAATCATTATAAGTACGATAATGTGTATTTAAGATCGAGAGGCAAGCAATACGCCAATTAAACACACATAAGTGCGCTTAATTTATGCCTTTTCTATCATCAAGTCTCACTTTTAAGGCCCCGGGGTAAAATTCTTAAGCTCTAAGGCGTTACTCGCGTGTGACGCGTGCAATTTCTCGTGGAAATTATTCCACGGACGCCAACGGCAGTTTGTGATATATGGCCAGGCGCGCGCGAGACGTGTCCCTCCTACACACGTGACCCCTGTGACTCCGGTCCGAATATTGAATCACTTTAATATCTTGGAACGAGATACACGATGCGCACGACCAGTCATGGCTCGTCCCAATCTTCCAAGCGTACGTTCAATTACGTTTGTGCCACGCGCGTACCTGCCCATGTAATCTTAGCAATGACATCAAACTATCAAGCTACTTTAGTGTACTTCAGTGTATCCTACCGAATGTGTCCTTATAAAATATTTATCGAACACTCGTAGTAAGCTGGGAAGTCGTTCTCCAGAGAATAAATTTATATCGATCGAAAGAATTGATTATACATATATATAATTGACAATTACCACTTACCAATCTGATGTACAAGAATGCAGTTGTAGTATATTACGTTGTAACTGCAAAATATAAATATATATCCAGATTATATGCAATGTCCAAAATAATTAAATAGATTAAAAATAATAATTATGTACAATTTTTTCAGCCGATCTTTAAACAAATATTTATAAAAAATTATATTGGAAACATTTTTCAAAAATTTTAAACTTAAAATTAGATAAAAATTTATTTTCATATAAATAGTCATAATTATAAATGTTAATAACATTAAAAATATATATATATATATATATATCAAGATACTAAAAAATATTTTATCTAAAAATAATATTTAAAAATATATTTAACATCTAATAAAATTCATATTTTATTAATAAAATATTTCAAATATATTTTCACGAAAAATCTAAAATATTTTTACGCATTATATTACAAAATAATGTAAAATAGATTACCGCGAAAATATAAAAAGTAAATAAGTAAATTATAAAATAATGCTCACTCAATGCGGTGTTCCATCGTTGTTCGATGCCACCTAGGCCTCCTCCTCCTCTCTTTGCTGTTTCTTCATAACACTCACTCGCGAAAAATACAGTTAATTATTATAATTACGGGCACACGATCGTAATTGTCAACAGAATATCTCAAATGCGCGAAACATTGCACGACATTTCCGGCATTACTCGAGCAGGACGCATATTTTACATTGCGACGAGAGAATTAATATGATATACAATTGCATAGATTATAATATACAATTGAATAAATATGTACTCGTGTAATAAATTTTACGCCTCGCTACGGAAACATAATTTGTAATTGATAAATAAGTTCATATTATAACACACGTAATATGCGTTTTGATCAATTACCACGATATGAATTAACGATCGTACTCATTAATAAAATGCGTTTCGTGCTCGATCTAATTCAATTCATCATGTATTTGCAACATTTCATTTATAATTTGAAAATAAGAAAATAATGACAATGAAAGCTTAATATCGTTTGATATGATGTATAATTTACGCGCGATAAAACATCAAAAATAAACAATTATAATTCAATGCTACATACGTTATATATCTCAAATGGATAAATATCAATGAAAATATATCAAGATCGTTCGAAATATTAGAAGCTTTTCATTATTTCAATCACTCCATTCTGCTATTTTGTGCTTCGGTTTAATCTAACTTTACTACCTTTTCATACCTATAAATTGCGTGAAATACCTGCTTCGATGAAAAGCCGTAATCTCGACATATTTAGGAATCGAGAGTTAATTAATCGTGCACGTCGATAATCATTAATTGTAATGGGAAATGATCATGCTTCAAGATATAATACGAAAAACACGGAGCGCGACACGCCACGGCTTTCCCGCTCGAGTCTCGTCGCGCGAATGACAAGGCCACTCAGGGTAAACATGGCGCGCACTATGTTTACGCGCCTTAGCCTTGAATACTGAACATAGTACAGCTCGTAATATTTTTTTGTTGGGAGCCTATGAAATATTTAACACATTACAGTATAAATTTTATGCAAAATATTCTGTTCTCTGAAAAGAAATTAATTATAACGAAACGGCTAATATATATATTATTACGACTTTTTGAATTATTTAATCAATTCGAATGGATATTATTACGCGCTCTTAATTTAAAGTGATTAATAAATTATATCTTTGATAATCATTTTTAAACTGAGATTACGTATAATACATGAATGTTTAATTAATTCAAATAAAATTAGATCATGAGAGAGATACAATCATTTTTATATGTATATTAATAATTAATTTAAAATTTTTTACATAGATTATTTGTCGCACAAATTAAAATCGATAAATCGATTTACTTATGTAATTTTGAATATTACAATTATGCAAATATTTTTTTAATTTCAGTGTATATGTATATTTTATACTTAACATTATCAAGAAATTATATTATCGCAGCAAGGCAAAATTTGATGGCGCAATTTTCGATGTTCAATCATAATTTTCGCCTTGTTCTTTATATATATTCTTTCTAAAATTACGATCGTGCACGTATAATCGTAATTAACTGTATTTTCGCAAATTGTTTTACAAGTGCCACATATAAATAGCGAAAAATAAATAAAAAAGAGAAAGACCTAAGTGGCATCAATCAAGTGATAGCGAAGCAACCATTGTGTATTTCGTAACTTATTTATTATTAAAATTAGTTGCTTTATCGCAGTAATATGATCTATTGTACATTATTTTAATATAATATAAAATGCGTAAATGTAATATAATACATATAAAATATATATATATTTAAAATTTTATTTAGAATATACTTAAATTTTTACTTAAATTTGTAATAAAAAATATATTTTTTTAACATTGTTAAAATTTATAAATGCTTAGATTATTCATATAAAAATGAAATTTTTATTTTTATTATATAATATTTTTAAAAGTTTACACCTAACAAATTTTTTTTTAAAACAATTTTTTATTATTTAGATATTTATATTATCATGTAAATGACAGTAAATTTATTTTCAAATACGAGGATAAAGAAACTTTTATTAATTTAATCATTATAGTGAATTTCTCTTATCTCTATATGCACACATTTTATTTAAAATTATACACAGAATTACTGTCCATTCTATCTCCATTCTATTTCCATATGTTTTGATCTTTAGACAATTTGACTTAAAAAATGATGTTTACTAGTGGATTTACAATTCACACAATAACCAAATATTAAACACATTAAGCAAAATTAAACGTTTAAATTAAATTTTCGTAATAACGTCGGATCGTAAAAAATTATGTTAATAGTACTTAATGTATGGATAGTACAGAAACTGAAATGTGAGACATTATAAATAATTACTTTTTCTTACATATAATATTTCACTTCCCCATTGAACAAAAATAGCGTAGTAAACAATATTATATAAATATTCTTAGCAAAATTCTGTTGCAAACTCATGATACTGACAATGAGAATCTCTAACAAATAATTCTAAATTAATTTTAAAAGAATTAGAAATATGTAATCTAGTTATTAAAATAAAAATTAAATGACATACGGTGTTATTAATGAACTTTTTTCATGAATTCATTAACATATGAATTTGACACACATATATTTTTTTATGTTGAATGTGTTTCGATATACGTGTAAATTCATATATTAAAGGATTAATGACACCGTTTGTATATATATTTACTTATACAATTTATTTTTATAGAGACCGGCTTTTTATAACACACCAATCTACAAAGATGCCTTTTTGGAAATGTTAATTTTACTAAAAACTTGCAATATACATATATACACATATACATTTATAAACGCGCAAGCGTGATTAATGTACATACATGTGTATATATGTATATAAATCATAAAATAAAGTGTCATGAGACTTTCGACGAAGTCTATTGATTCGTTAATGACCTAAAATAATAAAATACGAAGTAAAATAAAAAATGTTAGCAAGAGGTATGTATTATTGATATCGAATAGATGTAACACGTTACAGAGTTCACACACACACACACACACACACGCGCAATTCAAATCTGTAGGAATTTTATCATCCAAATTAAAAAATAATCAACCCTTAATCGCACAACTGCAATGTACATTCGCCTTATAAGAGTCACAAAATACAGCATTCCTGCATTCCTCGGACACTTACCAATCTGTTGTTAATATTACATGGAAATCGTACGTTAAGTATCATTATCGTATATTCCTAACGAAAACATGGTCACTTGTTTTGATTGAATCGTCCCTTCGTTTGTCGTCGCGATTGCGTGCTGATCGAAGTCGTGAGAAAATTTTCCTCAAACGTATCCACGGCAAAGTCTTGCTCCTTATGTACTTTAGGCATGATTCTGCTGGCCGGTCCGTTTCGCCTCAGCCGAATGTTTACTGCGCGCTCCATGATACCGTTTCGGATCTGCTGCTTCTTCTTCTGATTATGGAGCTGCTTGGCCACCGCCGTTCTGGAAGGCGGCAGTGGCGGCGGCGGCGGCGGCGGTGGCATCTTCGGCGGTAATCGCGCAGCTGGACCAGCCGGCAATCGCGGTGGACCAGCCATCCTGGGCATACGTGGCGGGAAACCGGGATGCCCGGGATAACCGGGTGGCGTCGGCGGCATCGCCGGACGTAAAGGCGGCGGTCCATACCTAAACCTGGGCCCGTAAAGCCCAGGTGGGCCCATCGGCGGCGGAATAGGAGGCATACCGAGCGGAGGAGGAGGCATCGGTCCGAATCCCGGAGGCGGCGGACCCGCGAATCTCTGCAGTGAAAACGGACCGCCGTTTGCGAAGCCTCGACGCGACATCGCCCCATACCCTGGCGGTCCCATCGTTCGAGCTGAGTTTTTCAATGCCGAACGTGTCTTCGAATTTTCTTGGCCGGAAGTGCGATAGGAGAAATCTTCGGACTCAAAACGACTTTACTCGTATCGATCTTCTCACCGCATTGAACCTCCTTCAACGCGGCGAGATAAATATCGCGTTCGATGGGATATCCGCGTGCGTCCCCGAAAGCTAAATACAGACAGAGAGAATTTTCGTTTGGGCGATAAGCTTGTTAAATAAGAACGTGATTTGCATATATGCGAAATATAATGCTTATTGATTGTCATCGTCACTAACCTAGCTTAATGTTCACTATGTCTTTAATTAGCATACTTGTGAATGAGAGGCTTGTAGTATAATAAACAAGAACATAAATTATTATAGAGAGATTATAAATTTGCAAGTTGGAAAAACTTGATTTAAATATTGCAGCATAAATTAATTATGATTATTTATATAACTTGCAAAAAGACCAGTTTACGTATGTGAAATCATGGCCTACTAGATACTAGTTTCTTTCACAGGCAAACATATATACGCAACACAATATTTCTTCACAATTCATAAATAAATAATAATTCATTGATCATTTTTCATGTTTAATAATTAATTATTTAAGTATATAATTAAACAGTTGATTAAAATTATATGATGACTTTATCCTCGAGAATCCAATAATAATAAAATAATATAACAATTAAATATAATACATAATATAATTTTTCTAATAACGCACCTTTTAAATGTTAACATAATGTTCAACATTTAATAATAATTATTATATGATTGAAAGATCTATTAAAATAATTATAATTATTTCAACCATGAAATCCAATAATATATAGTAAAAAAATTTAACATAACAAAACGTAATACGAGAATTTTTTAAATATACCTACCTTGTACAGAATCTTGAATTACCCAACCCAGCTGTTGAATGAGATATCTATAAAAAATTGTACACCATACATGTTTCAACAACGGCTTTTCTGAGAATATTCCGATTATTTAATAACAAATAAATATAAAAATTTTATCCTGATATAATATTATACGAGATTCCAATTTCAAACGAGTATTCAGATATCTGGATAATCAAATACAAATCAAGCAAGTGAACGGCAAACGTTACTCACTTGAATAATGATAAACGAGATATATCTGAATATCACAGATAGAAGAAAAAATACTACAATTAATAAAAAATAATACAGGGCTCTAGTAATAACTAGATATCAGGTACAATAAAATTATTTTAAATTTATCTACACTTATTTTGAACGTTTGGTCCTTCCTTAGTTACGATTATCCTCAGCATACCAAAGGAAGGGAGGAAATAAGGACGTTCGCTCCTTTTAGTTCCTTCTTCTCCTTTGATTTGCTGAGGATGGTCCATAGAAAGAATCAAATCGTTTAAAATAAGTATAGAGGAATTTAAAAACAATTTTATTGCACCCCTAATATTTAACTCTTATCAGCCCTTTTTATACCGTGTTTTATATTTATATATCAAAGTCTTTTCGAGCTATTAATTAATTAATAATTGAATTGATTAAAAGCACACGATATAAAGAGTTATACAATACTGACCTACAAATTAGATAGCCGGTACGATTCACACCGTGTGTACAATGAACTCCTATAAGCTCACCTGTAACAGAAAATTTACACCATTTTCTAATCCGATGACTTAAGCAGCGATATCAGCTTTACATAGACTATTGTTTTGATAAGGACCCAAAACAATAAGGATCGAAACGTTGTCTTGATTTAATAATATGTCTTAGTAACAATAAAGATACTTTTATGCCAGTTGGGTCGTTACGATTTTTCTATTTATTTATTATTCACTGGCGAGACAAAGATTTATTGATTATATATTATTAAAATGATGTTTTAATTACATTTTATTATATAAAAATCGCTGCCATCGTATATATATATATATATATATAAATTGAAGTATCCGAACATTGCGCACGTTTCGCGCATATTTTCTTTTTTTCAGATATTTCGTAAGTAATGAAGAAACAATCTCGATAAAGTAATTATGCGGCGACGCAGACGAGAGTTCGGTCGGCAGGACACGCGATCAGTATCTCGAAAGTGCTTTCGAGACATCGAGCGGCGCCGAAAAGGACGCGCCGAAATATTCGCTTGCGAAAAAGGCGTGCAATAAGGATGCATCGCGGCAAGACATACGATTCCACGGGTCATCAATTCGGCCTAGGGCGTGGGGTCGGTACCTCTTCGAGCCCAGCAAGGGGCTGATTATAATATTATCGCAAATTACCGGCGAAAACTGCGACGAATTCACGACGACTCGTGACTCCCCGACTACGGTCAGCCCAGCCGGTCGATCGCGGCAGCGTTTTCGTAAGAACTGCAATTTTAATAAGAGTAGTTGACCAGCGCATAACGATCGAAGAACGCGTCTACGACCGCTCCTTTTCCCTTCAAACTTCGGGGTCTTCTTGCTTTCGCGCGAACAAGCCGGAGGATAAGTACCAAGTACTTTAGAGGCACTTCGTACCTCCTTACACCTCTCAGTGTGAATTAAGTGGCCCATCGCGGGTCATGCGATACGCCGTTTGACCTCTGCAAGCCGCTTGACCGAACGAAAACTACATCGGTGTATCTCTTGCGACGGTATACACACAGCGCGAGTTATGTCCCTCTTTCTTGGACGGACCGAGGTACCGTACTACTCGCAAAGGACAATAATACAAATAAATGGAGAATTCAATGACGACGCGATAAGATTTTCAGTGAAAAATTGTGATAAACAGTATAATAAAACTGTTGACTGAGCACTATCTTCGATCTAACGTGTAGCATCCGAGAAAAAGTATCGAGATAAAAGTATGCGAATGAGCAACTTGTTACTAGACTCGTGCATAAAAGCTGTTTTCTTCGTAAGAGAGTCCTTGGATTATCATATATGAGAAAATAATGATGTGAAAAATAATAGAGATTGTGAATGCTTAACATAAATAGAACATAAACCGAAAAAATCACAAAGAAATTGAAAAGATTATAGAAGGATATTTCTATAAATTTATTTTATAAGCAAAATTATTTAATCTCTCTGAAAAAAATCGAAAGGAAAAATTTCATCATTTTTCTTTTGTTTAGAGTCTATTGAATAATTTAAATAATCTAGAGTTTTTATACATATACAATATAATTATAATAAGAGTTTTTTCTTTAAATCTGTACATTTTTAAAATTATTTCGACATATATTAACGACATATAAAAATTATATATTATGTTTTTAACAAAATATTTAGTTCTTATTACATTCATATTTATTTGCATATATTCGATACCGCAGATTTTGTTAAATGCAATATTTTTTTCCAGTGTACGTATAATAATAACAATCCAAATAATTCGTATGTACGTATATACGCATATAAAATAAAATAAACTCGTTTCACGTCTGTACCTATCACGAGGTCATCTAAAGTTTGCATAAGCCAGAAACTTACATATTTTAGCGTCGAGAATCTCAGAACACGTCGGCATCTAATGTGAATCTAGAGCCGGTACCCCTGTGGTGCAGTATGGCCTTTGTACCAACAAATAAACCGATCTTCAGATACACAAATTGTCGTAGACATACAACTACTTTGATATGTATTAATACATATCATTTCTCTGCAATTACTGTGTGTGAATATTATCTTCTCTTTATTTTTGTATAAAAGACATACACATAATTATATGTTTTATATCAAATTTAGATAATTATAACATACAATATCGACCTTTAAGTTTATATAATAAATTGTTTTTGATATAAATAAAAAAAATTATATTTCATTGTAAGACACGTGTACCGATTATTAAATAAAATAAAAAGATTGAGAAATATTTACAGGCGGAATTTTGCTTATCGGAAATCTTCGATATTTGAGATTGTGAAACTCACGAATTCGCACTTGACTCATGTGTATGAATATACTTACATGCCCATACATTAGTATGAAATTACAACGAGCAGAGAGATATTACGATGATCTTTCAAGGCACCCTGCCGCTCAACAGTTGAAATCAAACGTTGCTCAACGGGAGCCAAAGCACACGATAATAATGTTCATCGGTCGAAAATCAGCCTTGTACACTCAGCAATATCATTAATTAAGTATAAGTCCGCGATTAATTCGGGATATCTGCTTTTTACCGTTACGATCATTCGCAGAGATACATACAGTTTTTTCAGGTCTATGTTATAAAGATAGAATATGCTCGTCAAATTTACGACAATAATTAATCAAAATTTACGAGATCTTTAAATAAAGAAGTCAAAACATTTCGTTTGTTAAATTTGTCATTATATAATATTGTTTCACGTTCATTGTTAATTAGGAAGATGAGTGTTATTTCTTATTCAAAAACTGTAAGCTTTTTAATTAATAATTTAAATAAAATTTCAGAAAATGTATAAAGATATTTTTAAGAAAAATAAAATTTAAGTATGATTATATTATACGAGAAAGATTTCAGATAATACCTTACTCATCTCATACTTTTATGAGAGGTCACATACGAGAAAAATGTGATTCGTTTACCAAAGTCAGAACAATAGCATGTTTCGCTTAACAATTCTTTGGTGGAGTAAAAGTTCACTATCACGAACCTTAGTGTGTCATATGTGAAACGACACAAAACGACGGAAAATAGGGAGTCGATTTTATAGATCAAACTCGTGTACGCTGATGAAGGTGAGGGTGAGCGATCGCATGCAAATATTGTTTTCGTCTCAACCCCCCGAGATATCGCCGACAAAAAAATTAAAAGGCAAGACTACGCACCCGGAATTGCACGTGCCACTCTGAGTACAGCGTGAAGATTGGTTTTCAGGCTACTGGAGTAGTCGTGAAGTACAACCTGAAGCGACGCGGCAAATGTGGCGATATGATATACACGCGAGTAAGGTACGTCGGCTCAAAGAGCCCCTGGTGGTGGATGCGAGATCCTGGTTACCTTGTGTCAAGAACACGCGAAGAGAACTCCTAGTAGCTCGAGAGCGAAGTAAAAGCTCGTCGGAGATATATGTATGTAAGAGCTGCTGAAACCGGGGAACGACGTTAACGTCCGGCATACATAAACATGAAAATATCGCTGGCATGTTACTGCAAGTCTTTTTGGGACGCCGATTACTGCCGTCTTAAATCAATCGAACGCACCAAGTTCGGTTGCGACGCATCGTATACGAAGCGCGAAACGGACAAAGAATTTTGCGACTTGTTTGAGAACGAAAGTAAATATTAATCCGGAAAATATAATTTATTTTTTTTTTTTCGAAACTGCAAGAACTTAAATTTCAGAAACAATTATCTGTATGGAGAAATAATATTTTATATATATATATATATATATATATATTATAACTTGGTATAATTTAAATCTTTAAAAATTTAAATAAATTTAAATAAGAAATATTAGGACATGCAATTTTAATTTTTACAACTCTGACACGCAATTTTAATTTTTTATGCATCACAAATTTAACAAATTACCAAGGAGATAAGAGTGATTTGTACGCGAGTCATTTTTACGTGATCAATTGGCGTCTCAGTATTGGACATTGGATATACGGTATTGATAAATGCTAAGTGGTAGGCAACGAAGCGGCTCCTTTTGCCTTGGAATGCGTCTCGACTCGTTCTTCGATGGACCGCTCCACCTCCCAGCTCAAGTTAGTCAATTCGTGAGTTTCCCACGTACAAATCTGATAGCTCTGTAAACCGCGATAACGTAACGGAATCCGCTCATGCGATTTCATCAGTGAGAATCTGGGACAATTACGTTCATTTAATATTTCACAAAGTTCCCAGGGAATCTTGAAAATTCTAAAAATTCCAGGTTATAGATTTTGTGCCTGAAAATGTTATATTAAACATATTACCTATTAAAACTATTATATGAAAACGTGAAAAGTGAAAAAATGATCCTAGATCTCTCTTAGATATGTAGATTTAAGATACAAACTATACACACCCATACACGCACACATTTGAACGTAAACTAAGAGAATCTCGAGTCTTAAATTGTACAATGAATTCCGATGCAACCTCATAGATATGACTGGTCGTTTGGCATGAGAAAAAATGGAGGAACAGATACAAATACGCAAAGGGGAGAAAAAAAGGAAGAAAGGGACGACGCGGATGTGAAGAGAAACGAGAGTAGGAGAAGAAAAAGAACAACGCTCAAGGGAACTTTCTTCTCTACTGGTTGATAAACGGCGGCAGATAATTAACAACGCCCCGGTATGTGTATTTCATGCGTGGGCGTCCTCGAATTCTGATCGGATTCGTTGGGATCGTCGCCGTTGTCGTCGTCCTTGTCGAATCGTTTCTCTCGTCCGAGGCACAGAAGCCGGGCGAATATCGTGCAACCGCGCGAGTAAAACAACCACCGGCTATTCTACATTCGATCTCGCAACATACAATACAACCGAACCGTAATCGAGGGAGTAAATTAGGAAGGGATACGCTCGTACAGTCCTGATCAGCAGTTTCGTCCGAACGAGGATACACCTACGACGATTCCTATCAATTTTTCTCGTCGAAACACGAGTATCCGTGTTTCGTATATTTTTTTATGCTTTCGAGGATTGTTAATACAACGTTTCTTAAAAACTATTTACCTATGCGAGTGTGTTGTTGAACTTGCATTTTAGTTGGCGCCGATCAGTTTTGCAACTTTCATCAGACATCTCAGCAATAATACAATTATTATGTATAAACCAATATATAAAACATTATATATTTGTAATTCTGTCAGACGTATAAGAAAGTTACTTCAATCGCCGAATCAAGAAACTTTGTTACGAAAAAAACTTGCATATAATTTATAAGAAATCGGCGAATGTAATATTTTTAATGTAATACAAACTCACCTTCACCGCATGTTGCCATGAAATCGTCCATCACTTTAAAGAATCTGCAAGGAAAGAGAGCAAAAATTTTTACTTTTATAGCAAAGCAACGACTCCACATCTTTATCTTTTTGTAATTTTACTTTTCGAAAAGAATTTACTTTTCAATAATCAATTTGAATCAATTTAAATTTATAAAATGTTACGTAGCCAACCGGAGCCAGCTAAAGAAACTTTCCTACAAAAAAAATTGTGAATAATGTGTATCATTGATATATGTGTGTTTAATAGCGTTGTACATATGTTTTTGTAATAATAATCAGTTTGTAAAATAGGTTTATAACTAACTAACGAGCATTAACATTCTTGCCGTCGAATTTTTTACACGGAGGGAATAATTATTTTTATCTTGTATAAACAATATAATTAACATCTTAAAATATATCTGATATATAATGTTACAAGCATGCATAATAACAGCGCCGCCTTTGAGGAGACAGCAATCTCTTATTCTTCCTTTATTTGCTGTCTATAATTTTACGAAGCAGCCAGCGCGACGGTGTGGCGATCGAATTTCCATGGAGCTGATGAAAAAAGTAATCGGCTAAATAAATATTCAGGTACTGGTAACCGGTCGAGCAAACCGGCAGTGTAATAGGTGTATGTAATAGGTATGCAGAAGCCGAGCGGCAAACGAAGGGGTATGGTAATGAGACTTAAGAGCCGGGACGTTGCACACGTCCTGAGTTATACGAGTGAGCGCAGTACGAGTCCTTTACGCGTCACGTAAGGGCGCTAAGAAGTTAAATCGATTCCGAATTATGTCATGAAAACACGCGTCCCCGACGTGGATTAATAATAGCCGCGGCGGCGGCGATTTTTCAACGGGCAACACATTTCCCCTTTTGTCTTCTATAAACTTTACCGTGAACTTACTGGAGCGGTTTCTTTGTGATCTATGGGATAAAAGGCAAGGAGAAATGGAGAGACAGGAGAAAGAGATCTTTGAAACTTCGCAGATTCGGGGAGATAGGGTGACGCTTATATAATAGTTTACGGGGGTGCAGCCATGTATCACGCTGGCTCTCCTTCAGCCATCGTCGACGAGAGATCAGAAGAGGGAGGGAAAACTTATTAACGAATTAAACCTATTTCGACAGCTCGATAAATTATTTTATATAGAAAGGTATCCTTTTTGCGTTCTTGGGAAAATTCTGAAAATATTTTCGATACGCCGAACGTTGTATTACGTTGTAATAAAGTTGATGTCAACATGTAATATTAATTTATCAAATATTATATACAAAACTTTAACATTATATAATGCATATAACAATTATTATTGTTTTTAGATTTTATTAATATATGATAAGTAAATATATTTTATTATGTAGGGAGAGAAAAAGGAGTTCATTGCTCCATCAAATATTTTTCTTTAAATTCGAAATCCTAGAATTAATTAATAAACCTGAGAGATTGTTATATATAATAAACAGAATGCTCTTCTTCAGATAAGTTTGATAAATGTGCTAACATTTAGTTTCCATAGAAATGAGAATAGTGGTGACAAGCAGAAAATTGTTTTAATCCCCGACCGCGACTACGATAGACTTAGTTAGTTCTCCGAAAAGTTACTACGTTCATCATTATACGGGGATTGGGTGGCCCAATTGTAGCGGTCTATAGAAGCTTAATAGGACCGTTTTAGTGCCTTTGGTCCCTTTCAACTCCGAAACGGACTCCCTATAGCATCGATTAGACTAACGCGATTATAAGCAACTAACTCATTCACGACTTGCCGACTGGTTTCGACCACCGTTCGATATCGATAGCCTACGAGGTGAGAAATATTTAAAACCTTCAATGTCTGTTAACTCATAATGACTCTTGAAATAGGAGTATCTCGTTTGTTGAAAAAAGGAGAGGGATCATGCAAATGTATTTCATTAAGATCGGATTTTGTAAACTGTATCATATTCTTAGAATTGTCATATATATATATATATAACACAGCAATTTTCAATAATATACGTACACATGACAATTTTACCTGATGAAAAATTTATTATCACAACAGTGCATCATGATTAATGCACGCGTGATACGACAAACTTACATTCACGTCTCGTAATTTACAGCGCATTGTCCGCAAAGTCAGTGCAAGAAATAAAATGAATCTTCCGTATATATACAAATCGGTAGCAGAATAACGCATAACGTCGACTGTCATTCGCTCGCACGGTCGCGGCGCATTTATAATATTTGAAATATTCGTGGTGCGTCTTCCTCGTTTCAAAAACGTGACAGCACAATCACGGAGAAATGCATCTATCACAGGGGATGAAGGCGGAGTGGGCACGGCCTTCTCCAAGATGAAATATTGAAAGATAGCTGCCGGGGCTCCGCGTGCCGCGGTGCGGCGCCGCCGAAACGTGAAAAATGACGAGTGTTAAATTAATTTGACTTTCGGATTTGAATTACAGATTCGAGGCGAACGCGGAGGTGTCGTTGTACACGGCGTTTCGCACTCGGTAGAAATTCCCCTCCAGCAGAAGAACCCAATGTCGGAGACCAGCTCCAGCATGATGATGATGATGATGATGATGATGATGATGATGATGATGATGATGATGATGATGATGATGATGATCATGATGATCATTATCATCATGACCATCATCATCAACGTCATTAGTACGATGACCATATTTTCTATACCGTCCTCCTCGGAAAATCAAAATCAAAAGCTCTGACCTGCTATGTGAGATGAATGGCCATCAATATTTATAAAACCAGTCATCCATCAGTGACAAACTCTACTTCAAGAATATTTTACTGCGTTATCTACTATGAATGCATAGGTTTCACCGCGTATGCACGCACACATACACACACATCGCATGTTTATCTTTTTATTCAACGTCGCGAAATATCATTTATCTCGTTCCGATGCTATGTGTATGTGTGACCAGCCACAAATTGATTAATTTGGTCACTAGTAAATATTTCAACTCAATATAGCTTCGTTTCATTACGTTACATAATTTTGTGCGTTTTAATTTGTCATGTGGTCTTTAATCTTAAAAAAAAAAAAAAAAGATTCAGAACTATTTTACTATACAATACAATTACAATATAAGAAGCGATATTATGATAAAACTTTAATATTTGAAACTTATTAACATGTAAATTATTAAGTCATCGTTTCAATGAGTTTTTAAGTATATTAATTTTTGAATTTATTTTGATTATATACGTCATGTAATTATAATATATATTTAGTACTATAATTTCAAATTTATAAATAACATTATGTAGATATATGCGACGTTCATAGCAATTATTTGCGCCCTACTGTGAAAATCATATAATATCCACAACCAAGGTGTTAATGAAACACGGAGTCTTACAAGCCTCTCGTGTCTAAGCAATTTCCTCGCTAATTAACTACAGAACCTATATTGAGATTATGTTGCCGATAACTCCGGTCCGTTTCGCATAAGCCATGAAAATCACGCGTGACGAACGCAACGGAGAGACATTCGACTGGAATAAAGTGAAGCGTCCGCGTGAAACCGCGAAATGACATTTATGGTAGCGCGATTGTCGGTCGTAAGCGGTGTTCATTTGAATATCGCACGGTGTGTGGTCCTTCGCACGCGCCCACCGTACTACGTGCTCGTTTGCGTGCGTGCGTGCGTGTATGTACGTAACTTTACCGTGAGATCACGATCGGGTTGTGTTCATGCCGTGAGGACGGTGTGATTGCGTAACACGACGTGCTATCGAAAAACTTCATCGTCGCCCGGAAGAAGCGCCTATTTAAAAATCTAAATAGATATCAAGTTACAATTGCCGCCCAACAAGATGATGATAAATAAATACACCATGGCGCTTATAAATTATTTTAACATGCAGACACGCCTTGATTATCATCCGCGGAGACATATCAGACATTCGTAGTCTGTTATGCGAACGATTTTTATTTTTTTTATCCTAGCAGATTTCGTCTGGCCAATGTATGAGATGATCAACATGTAAAAGAGAATCATCATAGATGTTCAATCGAGTCGAAAATTAGTCAACAGTGTTGAATAGCTTTATTCCTCGAACGATTCGTATCTCACGTCAAGAAGAACGATAAATTATAGATAAACGAAAAAATTTATTTAACTTGTGCATATCTTCGCGTGAAATCTTTTGATTATTTATTCAGCTTGTTTAACTAAGCAACACATTTTTAATTTATCTCTCACTTTTCTGTAGAATCACGAAATATGAGAAATGGAAATCTGCCTTTTTTATTTTATTCTACATGTTAATAATATTAAAATGCCATTTTTTTTAATCGTGCAATATTCAAACTCAATTATTTATAAAAACGTATGTGTATACACATACATATTGTTCTATTCTATATTGTGAAGAATGATGCGAAACGCAATCGATAGTCGTTGATTGACAGATGCTATCATGTGAACTTATAATCCATGTAATTCTTTAAATGTAAAAAAAATCTTTTCGGCAAAATGTTCTAAATTATAAAATACGCGTTTGTTGAGAATCACGAAAAATAAATAACTATGTGTACCTGCGATCAAAGTAATCCTGTTACGGAAGAATATCATACTGCATTTTCTGACTTGGAAACGTATATAACCTAAATTATCCATGTTTTACTTATAAAAAAAAAACGGAAAATTATTTCAACTTATTGAGAATATATTGGAGAAATCTTGTAAATTTTAGATCACCTCGAGAAGAGTGGCGTACATCGACACGATATAATGAGGCAGTTATTACGGCACCAGAATTCACACCGACTCCAACACGAAGACCTCAACGAGATATTCAACGTGCTATTCCACGAATGCCTATGAGAACACGTAGAATGGATCTCACAGCTGGAGTGGCTATTGTTCCACGACGAATCGATTGTAAGCACAAAACTCGCGTATAATCAGACGAATAGCATAGTAAGAGATTCAACGTATAAATATAACAAAGTATGTAATGCGAAATATGATAAAACCTGATGAGATATTAGTCTAAAACTAATAGATATAAAATTATTTCTCTCTAACTCATAATTTTTTGACCCTTTTTATTATATATATGTTCCGCTGAAATTCACTAAAATTATAATTAATATCAGCCTACGAACAAATCTTTTCAGCGATACAAGTCATATTTATTACAATAATTTGTATAAAGCTGTTATCAGCTTATTAAAATTATTGTAATAAATGACTTGTGTTGCCGACTTATGTCTACAAGATATAAATCTTATGCACACGGTTACTGCTCCTATGCTTATTTTTCATTCTTTCAACAAAGCTACTGCAAACTCGCTTGAAACTATTATAAACGTGCTATAAGATTATTTAATAATTTAATAATCAAATTTTTTTTATTCAGTCGACGCGTTAGACGATGATTTTAACGGCGAAGATATGGGAGGTAAGTTGCGATTGCATTATGATTTGTGCGTTCAAAGATTCAAATCATTCGCTCAATATCGTTGCTTTTCTTTTTTTTTAGACGTGACAAGAAGAAGGGTAGAACGAAGCACGCCACAGCAACCCGAAGTGACTGCTCCTGGAACGTATAGGCTGAGACGCACAAGAGCGCCACAATTTCCAAGGGAAATCAAAAGGCAATACGCACCAAGAATGACTAGAATGACACCTTGCGGGAAATGTTTAAGAGTAAGCGATTTAACGCATCTTTCTCTGTTTGCAATAAGCAGAACTGTCCACTTTAATACGTCCCGATCAAACAAGAGAAACCAACATATTTTTGAATTTAAATTAAAATCCGGTATGCCGAGAATGTTTCTGATCATGTTTCTTGGAAGTGAAGTATGTGGTCATCTCATACGGTTAGAGCTGACCTAGAGTTAAGTTTCCTACCGCTTCCAAGCGCAGTTTTGGCTGCCCTTTCTTCCGCTCATAAATTCGTTTTCTCCGATTTTTACTTATGTCTAACGCTTCGCATCAATCTTTCTTTCGCGTTGCCCTACATTTAGACGAGAAGACGAAGAAAATATTCAGTGCAAATAAATCTATTTATACAAATGCGATTATTTATCAATTTTATTAAAATATCTAGAAATTATTATTAGACATTCAATAGTTAACGATATTCAACTGTAAACTCACTAATGTACAAATCTCATTTCCTTGACAGATGTAAAAGCATTGAAGTAGCACCAAAATGCAATCAACGGATTTACACAAGTATGTATATCCAGACTTCTTTGCATTTTTACACTTTACACACAGCATATTTTATTTATTTGTAAATATTATCGTGAAGAAGCCCATATAATTATTATTCAGGTATTGCAACATACGCAAAAAGTAAGAGAAAATCCTTGGAAAGAAGAACAACACACGATATTACAATGAAATGAGCATCTTGTTTCGCGTTCGTCGTAATTCACGACCGCGAATTGTGTTTTTACACAAGTACAAATGGACCAGCGAAGAAGGTGGCCGATCGCCTGAACGTGAGATTCGTGTTTGAGAATGTTTAATGCATGGACCGCGCGCGGTCGTAGGCAGATAGATGAACGGTTATCCGATGTTTGTATGGCTATACTCCCAGCACAGATCCCGGAACCCCGAAGATATCGTAGAAGTACTGCGCAAACACTCTGACTGACTGTTTCTCAATCAGAGTCGCGTACGGAAGGCGCACGGTTATAGCAACACTCTGTACACGCCTGTTTTCACGGTCATTCCATCTCTTCCAAGTGCGCAATTTGTCATCATATAAAGCATATATTTAAATGCATTCAATTTCATAAACAACATATGACCACGTATCTCCATTTCGAAATGAATATATTCAAATTGTAGAAATTTATCGAAGGAATTTATCATATAGAATTTACAATCGGAAACATATTTTGGCACAGAATTAAAAGTCAATCGTGTACATATAATATGATATAATAAAAGGTAAAAGAATCGAACTTGGACGTATCTTTATACACAAATTTGGTGCCGTATTTTTAAAATATGTTTCTAATCAATATTTATAAATGCAATGAAATGCAAAATCAAATTTCTTTTAAAATAAAATACCAAGATTAATGAGAAACGACATGATTTCGTCATTTTTCTACTGAAAGATTGATAAATAGTCAATAATATTGAATATTAAATAACATAGTGATCATGTTTGAGGAGTCTTCGTCGAGGAGAAAATTAACATTATATATTGCATGCCTGACTATCCTCTATACGTGAGAATAATTATCTCTGATCGAGAATGGTTAATCGATTCGTTGAATCCTCTCAGACAAAAAAGTTTACTCGGTATTTCATGCGAAATCGCCTTTGCACCATTACCTCATATCGCACGAGGAGGCGCGTGCACGCGAAGTCGCGGAGGACGCGAGTGGTGGCGAATTTACGTAATGAAGCGATCGCCCGGGTGGTCCCGAGCGTGAGACGCGCGTACGCACGTTCCTCTGGCCGTCTCGACGCGAGACGCTTGCCAAGGTGGAGAGAACAAAGAAGAGGGATCTCTCTCTTGCTGCTCTCGAGGACGACTTGTAGCGTCGTCGTGCCTCGTCGGGCCTCGTCGAGCCGAATTAACGGCACCGGAAATAAGTGAAGCAACGTGCACGCGCTCGGACGCATTATACGGCAGAGAAGGAGCGCGCGCCGTACGTTTTACCACCCACAATCACTTGCCAAAACATGCCTCTCCCGTGGATCTCCGAGCTCTTCGTCAGGGCACCGGCCCCGAGACGCCACACGTCAGAATATTTGAGATGGGTTCGCCCCGGGCGCTAAAGGAACCAATCGACGATCTTTCAGAGAAACGTCGTCGGCATTTATGTTCGCGCGATCTGCGGAGATTACCTTTCCTCTTGGCGGGATATATAGATTTCCTCTGTTGAAAACTTGCAGAAAGTCCAAAGATTCTTTTTAATTATGTTTTCATCTCGCTCAAATCGTTCATTTGGAAGATAAGCGCTAAATATATAATAGTTTTTTTTTTAAATTGTCAGCTATGCAACTATCTCGACCGATGATCAAATGCAATTTAATAATTTATTGGAGACATTATGGAAAAATTAGATCTACTTTCCTCGATAACAGTATTTTGCTCAATAAACTAAAAAAAATTTTAATTTTTTCAAGTGATCTCTTATGTATTCCCCGAGTATCGCGAATATATTTTCACGCTCGCAAAATATATACACAGCATCCTGCAATACAAGACAGAGAACATGTGGAAACTTATGTTCGATGTCCTTGCAAATAAAGACGTCTGTCGTACACCCACGTTTCTTGCACTTTCGCGTGTACTCGTTTTAAGCTCATAGAGAATTACGTGCACACGTGGTTTGGATAAATTCGATCGCATTTAATCAGATCACTGTCACACCGCAATATAAATATTATAATATATTAAACCATCTTGTATTTTTTTATTTCTATTTTAAAGTATATATCATTTTTTAATGAAATAATACTTTCATGTAAAATAGCTTTTTTTATTTAAGAATTTTAAATTTGAATTTTTCAATCAAATACTTAATTTTATTATTTACTATATTTTCTATCAAATATTATATTGCAGTAACCATCTCGTTTTTTTATTTTCAATTTGTTAAACACATAAATTCTATAGGATAAGTTAAATTTCTGAGAAACTTTTGCTTCTCAATTGGAATCATACGGTACATTTAATAGATATTAAATGTACCTTATTTTTATCAAAACACACGTACGACAAATAGAGAAAAGAAGCGAAAGAAACAGCAAAGTTTCGATCTATCTCGGCATGCCAAAGTAAAGATATGAGAAACTGACGAAGCATAGAGAGAGACTAGAATCGCCGAGAGAATGACAGTGGGACGGCGCGTTGAACGCGGAGGTGGAGAGTTGACAACGTTGATGAATATAGTCGGATGCAACATAAATCGGCCTGCGCACAGTCTTATGCACCATGAGTATAAGGAACCCGAGCCAGAGTTGCTGCAGCTCGGCAGCAGTCCTCGCATCAGGTTTACATTGCATGCGCTTATGTTTCAATTAACATCGTGTTTCATGTGAAATTGCTTAATCCGCCGCGCATGCGGCTAACAAGCCGCTATCAACGTGATTATCGTTAGTAACTAGCTCATGTTCACGGAACAAACGCTATCAAACACGCATTGCTTAAGGTGGCTATTAATTTTTTAAAGATAACGCGTTAACATTCTATTTATACACATCACTTAATTATAAAACTATATTGTATAATTTTTAATAAGAACTATATCTATTATATTCATAAATATACATCATAATTTAATAATTATATACGATGAAATAAAACGTTCAATGTTGAATAATAATTTATAAAAAATAATAGATATGTGTATAAAATTAGCGTCTCTACGCGTTATCTGTTTTTATTAATTTTTAATCAAGCAAATTAATTAAGTATTAAATAAACACATTTGTTGCCCCAAGTCCAGTTAGCCGACCACTCGAGAGATGCGCAATTAACCGCGTCGAATTTAAGACTCCATCGCGAGTGAGCATAATCACGTGTCGGTTTTTTTCCCACGATTTCTCCTTTAATCGCCTTTAACCGCGTCAATCCTGAATTCACAGCGCTGCGAAATAAGGAAACGTCGTTTACCTTCCGAATACCATTTTCGAGCGACAGAACATCGACGCCCGCTGTAAAGATATTTTTGGCATATGCTTGCGGCGCTTCGTAGACACGTTCTCGCGAGGATATCCTTGAGGCAAAAGATCAACAACTTCGATCTTCCGGGCGCGCGCGAAAAACGAAGAGATTCCGCGTCCGCGGCATTAAGTCAACGTTAACCGTCCAATAAATTCAATACGAGAATACCTCGCGACCTCGAAGGATCGACTTGGTAAAAAAAAAATTGCAGCTTCCTGATTCTGCGATTGTTGGTTTATCTCGTTGGTTTGTCACCATCCCTGCGCTTTCGTCAGAGTTCAAGGATATCTATAGGATATTAAGTGGCGCCTAGTTTTCACCTATTCCATACCTCCTCTCCCTCACCACCCTTTCTCCATCTCTCTTTCTCCCTTATTTTGGCAGCGCCGGTAAGCGATTCGATCCTATCAAGGATGCAGTTAATTACACGTCGCGCAACAGCCGAGCCACAAAGCCATCAGGACTCGCTCAAAGAGATCAACAAGAGAGCATGCCGAGACCAGACAGGCGATAGGCTATTCGCATACCTGCCGGCTATTAACCGTTGATGCGAATCACCGTTTTATCCTCGAATTATACAAATCGGGCCGCGTCCTTTGTGCGGGCTGATCGACGATCGAGAAAGGAGAGCGAGATGCCGGATGATCGCGAAAGGTCGTGCTTTGACCCGCGAATGGACGATTCAAACGCCACGATTTTTTTTTTGTTTTTATTGAGAAAATATCTCATCTGTATTTATTACCCGTCTCCCGTTCGGTCGAACAAATAAATAGTATTTAATGCGACGCGACGTTGTTAAGAGCGCGAACGGATGTCACGTTTTTCGCGCGATGCACTTACGAGAATGTTTTAGTAGCGCTTTCGCCGCGAGAAATAATCGCGTCGAATATCGCCGTGAAATGTCTTTATATTTCTTCGCGACCGCAAAACACTTGAGAGACACGGTAATTAATACCTTCATTACCGTAATAATAAATAGTTTTTATACCTCATAAGAAATCGTTAATTGCAGCACTCGAGCATTGCTCTTTCCTGATCGTATAATGCAGTTCTTACACATTAACCGATTATATAGTACTTAGAGATATTTTTCGCATGTGACAACGGGAGAAAAAGAGGAAGAAACAGAAGAGAGAAAAAATAAGGAGACGGAAGAGCGCAGTGCACAATATTCGGTAAATCATTGGACGTTTACTGCAGTTAATTAGTCGACCGACCCCATCAGACTGTTTTGCATGTATCGTTGGAGAAAGCCACACGCGTGTGTGCGATGGCGCCGTGCAAAGAGTTAACATGCATCCTCATCCCGCACGAGCGAAATATCGGATGTTATCTTGAACATCTTAGGAATTTCAAGAATTTTTTTATTAAGCCTCTTCCGATTACCTCGACGATCATTAGATGAGAATTTCAGTGATTATTTGTGTCTTCTCTGTTTATATCAGAAAAAGTTTACGCATCCATTAAGTCAGAGAAGATTATTAAAGAATTAAAGAAACTTATATAAATAGCTATTGACAGAATATTAATATGTATATACATCTATTGATATGAAAATATAGGTATATAAATTTCTTTTACTAAAGATCAAAAACAGTTTTATAAAAAAAAACCTCCCTCTGTTCCCCTTTTAAATATTTTTTTAATAAAAAATAAATAGGTAACATTTGTGATAATAGATCTTGTTATAAGCCTAAATATATATGATATAAAATTTGAGCTGTAAATCCATATCATAAATATGTATTATTAAAATTGTCATAAAAACGCATCTCTAATAATAAAAGGATGCTAATATACTATATATTTTTTTATATCCCAGATAAATTTTTAAAGATGCAAATATGCACGACTAAAAATAATGTTTGTGTGAAAAACGCGTCTACGCAGAAAAGAAACGTTAAAACGCGGATATTGAATCATCGTTCCCTGGCAATGATTAGCCAAACAGAACAAAATTGTCACGATCTCAGTCT